GGTGCGTTTTCTCATTCTCTTTTTTTTTTTTGAAGTTATGCTGGGCTAGAATACTTCTAGTTACTAAATTCTAGATCCTAGTACCTAACTACTTTTAAAAGTGTAAGTACTTAGATGTCTTGGGCTTCTTTATGTGCCATCATGTTTCCTTGCATTGCAATGTGGCTCTTTCTGGCTTCCCTACAAATCGCTGAAGGCATTTTGGGGACCGTGTTTAACTTTTGCCGTAGCCGTACTCGTGATTCGAAGTTTGCCAGCTGTATTCCTCTTTTTCTTTCATTAGCTGGAAGTAGTGTAACTTGTTCATCCAGCTCCCTGCAGGTGGTCAGTCTGAGTTCTTCTGCTGAAAACGCAGCATTTGGCAAACGTCAAGAATTAAGTATTTTTTGACTGTGTTTCCTAAATTAGTTAGCACAGGAGACATTGGGTTTCATCATGTCTGCTTTGTTAGAAGGAGTTCTGTATTTCAGCACCCTTGCGAGATTAGAGTGGCGAAAAAACCCCGTAGCTGGAAGGAACGCAAATTAATTGCTGCATCGTTATAGCAGAGATCTAGAAATGTGGACTGGCCTTGGCTGTGGCGAGAGGGGACTGGACGTGAAGAAAGAGCCAAGGGAACGGGAATGGCTGCACAAACAGATGATAAAAGAACTTGTCTGTGAGCGCTTACGTGAAACCTCTCCCGTTTAGGTTTGTCAGCTGCTGCTGGAATTGGTGTAGATGACCTTCGCCGCTTGTGCATACTCAGGATGAGTTTTGTAAAAGGTTGGGGACCTGATTACCCGAGACAGAGCATCAAAGAGACACCGTGCTGGATTGAAATCCACTTACACCGTGCCCTCCAGCTCCTAGATGAAGTACTTCATACCATGCCTATTGCAGACCCACAACCTTTAGACTGAGATCCCTCTGCTGCACTGCTGTGGGCCATTATATTGTGAGGATGGTGGATTGTAAAATACGATTCTGTTTATAACCTGAAGATATATTTTACTTTTGTTCTGCTTAATCTTCTAAAACCAGGTTTTAAAAATGTGTTTGCCGCCTTGCTCTTAGCAGAAAGAAACTGAACATGCAGAATTTGGATTTCGGTTATTTTCAGAACTTAATTGTCATGAAACACGGCTCAGGGCTTAAAGTGAACGGTAAACGCCTCGTAGAGACTTTACAGTATTGGGTTTGCTCCCCTTGAAACTTCCCTTCTCTCTATTACGGCATCTCGGTGATAAGCCTCACAGGAGCCTTTTGTATGCAGAATATATATTATATATATATTTATATCTGAAAATTCCTTCTAATAGTTATAAACATTTACCTTATAGCAACTTTAAAATTCCAGCTGATTTGCGATGTTCTTTTTAGGGAACAACCGTTAACAGAAGACTTCTTTATTTTGTTGACTCTCTTGTTATGATTTTTCCAGATTAAAACGTAGAAGCTGCCAAAAAGTGAGGGATGAGACGTGCGTCGTTGGCATTGATTAAAAATAGCGAGGAAAAGAAATGCGGCTTTTCCTTCACTAGTTTTTAAAAAAGATAGCATAGATTTTTATTTATATAGACACATGAGTTTTAAAACACTAAAGGAAATGGATACTTTCAGTGCTGGCACTCAAATTAGGTAGAACATGAAATACCCAGTCTGCAAAGTTGCCGCTGAAGTTGCCTAATGAGTACCTGATGGCAGGAACGTATTTTCGTAACTACTACTGACTTCGATGATTTTACTCGAGTAAAACTTGGCAGGTCTTTTAAAAAGCTGCATGACTCTTTTTACTGGCATATACCATTGAATCACGTAGAATATTACATCACTATTTAGGATCCAGTTTTTGTATCCGTTCACCGTTTCCACTCAGGGCAAGATGGCAAACTTGTTTTTATACCTCTCGGTTATTTTAAGCCCTATTGCCATCAATGACCGTATCAATTGGCAATGACTTTGTATAGAGAATTTATAGTAGGAAAAAAACCCGCAACTGTATTGACTGTACGACAGATACGACATGTATGCTTCCTCTCTAGATCATAGTATAAATAAAATGATGAAAACCCTGATTTTTATAAATTTAGTTGGCTTCTATTATGTAATTCCGCACCTTGAAACCATCGATCTTGAGTGATGGATTCCTTTCCTTCGCAAGAGCAGCAGCCAATAGCGGTGTAGGAATCTTTGGTGGTTTAAACCCGTCAGGAGGCACGTCCCAGTTGTCTTACTTTCACCGCTCCTCCATAAAAGCGTGTCCTGGGGATATCTCTTCTGGGGTATGAAGAGGGAGCAGGAATTCCTGATTTTTTCAGCCTGTGTGTAGGGAGTTGGAGCTCAGTCAGACAAGCTTAGAACTACGTAGACTCCAACTTCAGCCCTTCAAGCGCTGCCAGCTCGGTCTGCCTGCCGTGCTGTGCCGAGCCGGCCTGGCAGCACCCTTGTTAACGTAAGTGGAAGTCTTGGAAGAGATGATGCGGAAGCTTTTTGCCAAGTTTCTCACATAGTTTCGGGAGTCTGCGGAGCATCGCGACACACGGTGTTTAGGTCTCGCTTCCCCCCCTACGCTGAAGTTCTTGGGGAAGAAGTCAGCAGCCGCCGCGTCCGCCCGAGGCGTGGAAGCGCAGGAGACGGATGACTCCGCCAGAAAGGGATGACTTTTCTCCGTATTTTCGTTAACAGCGTTGCCTTCTTCGGGCTCACTTCTAATGAGATCACTTCTTTTTTCCCCTCTTAACCTGGCGACTCGATGTTTGGAAAAAGCGTTTGCTTCTCACAAGGCCTTTCGTTTAAAACCTAACGGCCTGCTTTGTCCAAGAAACAAACGTCTCCCCGTTCTTGAGGAACACTTTCAGCAGAGGATTCTGACTGTGTCCTCAGAGAAGCTCCTTAACCAGCAGCTCGCTTTATGCTTCATCCCCAACGGAGAACTCGATTTAAGGGAAGAAATGGAAAGCCTGGCCACGCGTTCTTGCCAGCCTCCCTTGAGTCGCCTGCCCTGCTCTTGCTGCTGGGTACCTCGGCTTCGGCAGAGGGAGTTCATCTGCGAAGAGTAGAGGGGTTTTGCCGATGTTTTCCCAGGTCTCCTTAAGTCTCTGCCTAGATGGCCGAAACCGCTCAGAATCGAACAACAAAAAAATGTCAAGGTGTGTTTATCAGAACCAAAAAATCGCAGGGTCCGCATCAGGAGAAATCTGAACGTTGGGTGAGGCAGTAAAAATCCTGAAATGGCGTTTGTCCTGTCCAGCAGGCAGTTACCGATGAGACGCAGTCGTAACTGTTGAAGGGCAAAATGGGAGAATCTCGATCCTTAATTTTCAGTAAGCCTTTAACTTAATTTTTATACTTCTACGACAGCATATAAGAGGCAGCGCATAATGGATTGGAAACCCCTCAGCAGCAGCACGTTGAATCTTTGACAGTTTTGCCTTTATGTCTTTCTTTTCCTGAGATTCAAGAAAAGAGCTGCAGCTCCTTGACAGCCGTGACGATCCCAAGCCAGAACTGCATCTCCTCCTCAGCTCTTGACTGTCTCCAGCTCGGTGAACTCGACAAGTGTTTTTGTCAGCTGGCAATCTGCGATCTTGCTCGCTCTGCTTGCTTCTTTCGCTGAAGTCATTACCCCCGTGTTTCTTGCCCTCAGTGACGCGCTCCTCAAAAAACTAATTGTGCTGGAGTACTTGGTAATTTCACTTCACCTACTGGAGAGCTGGGATTAGCAGGAACCGGAAGGTTTAGACGGCTTTGGCCCTATTATTGTGAAGTTTTGAAAGTGAGAGTGTTTCTATAGAATCACAGACTGGTTTGGGCTGGGAGGGCCCTTCAGGGGCCATCTAGTGCAACCCCCTGCAGCGAGCAGGGACATCTTCCACTGGATCAGGCTGCTCAGAGCCCCGTCCAGCCTGACCTGGGATGTTCCCAGGGATGGGGCACCCACCGCCTCTCTGGGCAGCCTCTGCCAGGGTTTCACCACCTTCATTGTACAGAATTTCTTCTATGCGGTCTAAATCTTTTCTCTTTCAGCTTAAAACCTTTACCCCTCACCCTATCCCTGCCCTACCTGATCAAGAGCCCCTCCTCACCTCTCCTGCAGCCCCCTTTCAGCACTGAAGGCCGCTCTAAGGTCTTCCCAGAGCCTTCTCCAGGCTGAACACCCCCAACTCTCTCAGCCTGTCCTCACAGGGGAGCTGCTCCAGCCCCCTGAGCATCTTCATGTCCCTCCTCTGGACCTGCTCCAGCAGCTCCATGTCCTTCCTGTGCTGAGGGCTCCAGAGCTGGACGCAGCCCTGCAGGGGGGGTCTCACCAGAGCGGATCAGACCTTAACACAGTACAGATGTAGGAGAGGAAACCTTTGTGCTGAAATGGTTTAAAAATCCTTGAAGTGATTCCACTGGGAATCCCTTGGAAGGAGCCGTAGCCACTGAAGCAGTGCTGGTTAGCAACGGTTGTTCCTTACGTCTGGGCTTGATGAGGAGGATGCGCTCAGGGACCTGGCTGCGATATAAACCACGTCGTTACCGGCTCTGGCGCGCTGAAGTCCTGGGAAGTACTCTGGCTGCTTTATGGAGGGGGACTGACAGTACAAAGGAGACAAAGGGTCTCCCCCCAGTCCCAAAACAGGTCTGTAGCAGCACTTGTCATTGAACCCGTGTCCAGCTCCTGTGCCTTACCTTTGAGACCATCTTCTTGTGACACTTCTAAAGACGACAGCGTCCTCTCTGCGTAGCCCAGGAACGACTGCCTCGATTCTTTTACTGGGACCTGTTACAGAATTCCTGTGCCAGCGAACATGTGGGGGGGTGTTTTGCCCCTGGACCCTTCAGCCATTGTTTATGCCTTGATTGGGGGTCTCTGTTGAGACCTCTTTAAGCTCTTCTTCGAAGAGTAAGCGCTTTAGAAAGGACCGTCTCCTTGATTCGCGTTTTTACGCTGCTGTGCAGAGTGACTGGGGTCGCTGGTCCCTTCTTTCATGTGCGGCCCATGAGGACAGCCAGATGGGTCTTCCTCTTAAGTGGGATTCTGACTTTAAGAAATCCTCTTTCTTCCTCTCCTTCTCCTCCTCAACATCTGCTCCATAAAAGCTCAGTCGTCAGGCATTGTTACGGACACAACTTTTGCGAGGTTACTTTCTTTTTTATTTTTTCAGGCAAGACTTAAACATTACAACCGGTGGGTTTGCCTGCTCCAGGGTTGTTTCCATGACCAGTAACAGGTTTTTTGAGGACCGTGGCACTCTTTCTGGGACTGAGATTTGCGAGTTGCCTGTCGTAGGGCGTTATTCACGAGCACTGAGCTGGTTGCTTCTACCCCCTGATGCGCTGAGTCGGCACTCTGGTCCTGGACAGGGGAACGAAACCAACGGAAAGCACTTCTCCGTCGGTCCTGTGGGAGCTGGATGACGGATGTGGCCTTCCCTGATGTCCTCCACCTCCAAAACGCTGTTCTCGGTGTGTTTCTGACAACGATCTGGGGGGGTGCGGTGTGCGACCGCGCCGAGTCGACGCCGCTGAAGTCCCCGAGAGCTTTTCAGCGCTGCGAAAGTTTCACTCGGCGAGACCTGGTGGAAAAGCAGAAGCAGCGTCAATAAACATCTCGAGGGGTTTTGGCGCTGTTGGCTGCTGTTGTGCCTTGTGAGTGATACATCGCTCCTAAATTCACAGGACTTAATTCTTTCGAGCTCACCGAAAACCACCTAGCGCTTTCTTGCTCCAGTACCTTTTTCCGTGTCTTTTTGGTGAAGTTTGGTAGCGCGACAAAGGTGTGATTCAGCTGGATTGAGAGCTGTGATAACCCAACACTCGCCCTGAGAGGGTTTTTTGAGCACGAAAGCCTAGTTAAGCGTTTCTTCTTTTAGCCATTGCCTTTTGATAAGCGGTCAACAGAATTCCCAGTAGTTCCTTTGTAGCTTACTGTATG